CTGGAAAGCGTGCAGGCCATGGCAGAAAAAATATATTTCCCGCAAAGTATGTTTCAATAATTTTTGCATAATGAATTTAGCATTATCTTGTTGAAAGATAAAACTATTTTTTATTATTTGTTCACTGTGCTTATTAATTTGTTTTTGAATTAATCTCAAGTATTTTTAATTGTTCATTTTCCCCTGAATTGACTGCAAATCAGTTTTACAGTTATATCCTATTGTGGCTCAAACCATCAGATCACCTTCACTCATTTGTTGTTTAGTTTTTCTAATTTCTTTCTTAGATCGTGGTAATAGCACACAAATCTATGTGGACCATCTAAATTAAATTTTTTGTCATCAGTGAATAATACTTTTCTCCATTTCTTTTTCCACTGTACTCAGTTTCTTGCAAACTGCAAACATTGCTCCTTATTATTTTGTTAATGGATTATTTCTCAATTTTTCTTGCTGTACAAGTTGAATTTGAAATGATACGAAGAATAGCTTGCTTTTCACAGTTTAATAAGGTTGGTGGTGTTTTTTTTCTTCATAATTATCCGTATCTTTTAATAAATTATAAATGACCTTACGACTTCTTTGTACAATTCTCACAATTTTTGAAATTGTCAAATTTTGACTTCTTAAAGTAATAATTTTTGCAACTTCTTTTTCACTGAGTTTATTACCTCGGCTCATTTTTCAAAATGTTTAAAATACGCGACACTAGTTGTTGCTTATTTGTCTGAAGTTGAATCTTATTTTCCAAATAAGATTCTTTACATTTGTCTGTTTACATTTTGTACTAGGAAGAGCAATCAAATTCGACCGATTCAATGCCAGTGTTTTTTGTCTTGCATCGTTACATGTAATATTTTTTAAAATTAAAAATCTTAAGCTATCTTTGAGAAATTAAAAATAACACACGCGTGCTATCATTTTATCCAGGACTGTATAAGACACTGCATATTTCGGATAGAGAAATGGGAAAGGAATCAATAAAAACATATTTTCAATCTCCCTTACCAGGACTTCCAGGTCCCGCTCGGCGTTCATGATAGCCTGAGACAGGTCCCATCCCGATGACAGGAGGGCCGTGTCATCCGCATAGCAAACAACACGGGAGCCACCTGGCATTGGGGTTCGGAGGTCACTATCATAGGCAATGTTCCACAACGTAGGGCCCAAAACAGATCCCTGTGGGACTTCACAATACATCTGTTTTTCCACGGCGCGTCCATGACTGTCTATAAATGTTATGGCGCAATTGTTTAGATAACTCTTGATGATGTTCACCAAGTAGCGTGGAAAGTTTTTTCGCTCCATCGCCCTGACGAGAACGGTTCACGGCAAGGAGTTGAAAGCGTTAGAGATATCCAGATTCACCAGGATAACCACTTTCCTGTCCCGCGTCGATGCCTCCACAAATTTTTTAACATCGAGGATGGCATCTACAGCGGATCTGCCCGTCCTAAACCCATACTGCGATGGCACCAGGGTTCGAGTTTCTTCTAAGAAGCTGTTGATCCGGCCAACAACTATGCGCTCGAATAGTTTCCCCAGTTCGCCAATCACGCATATTGGTCTATATGATCCCGGTGAGTCCGGCGCGTCCCTTTTCTTTTTGATCAGGACGAGCCTCGCTATCTTCCACACTGTCACGAACCTTCCTGTCCTCAAGCATGCGGAGAAGCACTGCGCCAACCCTTTCCCACAGTGTGTGGACGCAGCACGCCCAACCACACCTGGTATCCCATCCAGTCTAGGAGCCTTCCTTCCTTTTCCTTTCCTGGCGGCAGCCAAGACCTCCTCCGCAGAGATAGTCACCTCTGAGAGTGTAGGTTTCTGCGGCTCATCAGTTCCCGGTCCTCCTGGGAGAGGATTCAGAGAGTTCAGAGAGGATATTCTCCAGTACCTCATCCTCCAGGGTTTCAGTTAGTGGTGGGGCATAAGGCCTGAGTTTTCCCAAGACCAATTTGTAAGATCTGCCCCATGGATCATCTTCTATAGAATCCAGCAGGTCCTTCCAGGAGTTCTTCTTGACTTCCTTAATAGCCCTAGTCAGTGGCCTCCTTGCGTCTCTTCGGGCGTCCAGACACCGCACTATTTCCTCCCTGTTCTTCCTTTTCCTGGCTCTGGAAAGTTTCCTTACTGTGATCGTCGTAACGGCCCTAAGGTTCGTTAGTTCGTCCGACCAACAGTAAGTACTTTTACTACCGCGGGTTTGTCCCCTCATCCGGGACATGGCTATGTCGCACGCTTGTTTCAGTGTAGACTGTGCCCATTTCACAAGTTTGTCTGCACAGTCCGCACTGACCGTGTTCTCCCCGCACATAGTTCCACCCGTCCACTCCACTGAAATGAGGGCCGCAACCAATTAGTCCTCATCCAGGAAGTTAATCTTCCAACGAGGGAGTTTTTTATGTTGTGGGCGAGAATTTCGGACCCCTGTGGCCTCGTGATTATAGCTAAATCTAACATAGAAATGGTCCGACAGGGACTCAGCTTCATCCACCCTCCAGTCCGAGAGGCGGACGCCAGCTGCCGGCGTGCCCCACGTTAGATCTATAACGCTCGACCCCTGTGGTCGAATGCACGTGGGACAGCCAACCCAGCTCAGCAGACCCAGGTTCATTCTGTTGGCCCAGACGCAGAGCAACTCACCCCAGCGGTTACTCCTGCCTTTCGGGTCCCATCTGCTGGACCGGGCATTAAAATCGCCAGCCACCAGCGCTGGGAGAGCGGGGAATGTTCCTAAGAGCACTTCAAGCTCATCAAGGAATCTACTAAACATGATCATGTTCTCGCTGGGAGGAAAGTATACCGAAACTACCAGCGAGTCCCCCCATTTAACGGCTACGTAAAAAAGGCCCCGACGCACCAGGCTACAGGGTCTTCTACTCTCGCCCACAAGCACCGCGGAGAGTGAAGTCCCTCCTAGGAATGAGAACCACCTCTCATCCCCCGGAGGAACCCACCATGGTTCCGCAATGACCGCCAACTTCATTATGTCCTCGCGCATGCGCTGTGCCAGCAAGTCCTATGCACGGCGCGCGTGGTTCATGTTTATTTGTAGAACAGCAGAGGACATTGTCTATGAACTCTCCGCTGCTTTTACTCCTATTGAGATGCCCGGTACACCTTGTTCCACCTCCATGTCTTCTTGTACACTTCTCTTCTCGGTCACTTTCACTGTCTTTGCAGTTTTTTCAGCGACCTTATGCGGGTCTTTTTGGGTTATTGTTTCCGGGCAAACATTTGATGCTCTCACGAACACCTTGTCCACCCATTTTTTGGGAGGCACAACCGGGCACTCCCAGGAACCGGCACGGTGGTTGGTCTGCTTCCGGCCGGCATCTGCGCAAACCGGGCACGCCATTTTGTCCGTACGTGATTCGGCCACTTGGCCCGGTTTCCCACATATGTAGCAAAGGTCTGTCCTGGACTTTGTGGCCAGGCACGTTGCCACGACATGTCCTTGCGCAAGGCACCGGTGGCTTGTGAGGGGCCGCTGCCTGAGTTTATGCATCCTCACTTTCGTAAGTCCCACGTCTATTCTGCCCCTCTCGGATGGCAGGCGTCGGAGCCGTGACAGTGGCCTCGCCTAATCTGCCCCTGCCAATCCTGATCTCTCTAACCTTAATGAGGTTGGGGTCTGTTCCAGACCGCACCTCCAGAAATGCGTTTCTTATGACGGTACCGTTAGCGTACGCGTCCAGTCCCACCAACCTTATGGTGCTCGTGTGCAGGGGGCGGGTGATCTTTGCTCCTGGGACAGCATTCCTTAAGCCCTCCGCCATCCGGTCGGCCTTCGCATTTGCCCCTTTGCCTCGTACCTGCCATATAAAGGCACCCGTGAGTCCTCTCCTACAGGACATGGTGCCGATTCCCAGGTCTTTGAGGTTGATCCCCTTCGTGGCCCGCACGAGTGCATCCCTGTACATCGTCTCCTCGGTACAGGATAGGGAAATTGCAGCCACTTCTCTTTCCCTTTGCATCCTCTTCTTCCGTCGTTGCGCACCGCTCCTCCCCTTCCTTCTTTTCCTAGGGGGCGCCTGTCCACGCAATGGTTGAGGGTCGTTGACTTCATCCTTTGATGTAGCCAGGGAGAGTGCATTTGCTTCCTTCCTCTGGACCCACCTCCTCTTTCGGCCAAGCACCTGCACAAAATCATCTTGCGGGGTTAGTGTCTTACCTACACTTACCTGCTGCGCAGGGGGTCTAGTACACTCAGCACGGAGTGTGGGGCCCTTGTGTGGTCCACCAGCCCCAGTCGCTGCTCCACTCAATGTCTGATGCCGCTGTTGTTGCTGCTGCTGTTGCTGGTGCAGCTGTTACAGTACTTGCTGCAGCTGTTGCTGTACACTGCGGACAGCCTCCGCCAGTGCCTTTACCGACCTGTCTGAGTGGCTTGCGTCCGGGGTCCTTTCTTGGCTTTTCCCAGCCAAGGGAGTTTCCCTCTTTTTGATTACCCTCTTGAGACGGATGTTCTCCTCCGTGATTTCCTTATTGCGCAGCTCCATGGCCCTAAGTTCAGCCTTCAGCTGCTCAATTGTCTCCTTCGCTGACGGAGGATCATCTGCCCGGGATTGGAGCCTTACTCTTAGGGTCTTGAGTCCCTCTATAGTTATTCTATGGGTACGTTTCATGACCCCCGAGATGTCTCCTTTGAGGTTGCGACATTTCAACTTGGCACTTTCGGCCTCTATGGAGGCATCCCTCAGCGTATCGATCACCCTACCAGTCTCCACCTGAGACAAGGCGGGGGTCTCCGCCGGTCCTCCCTCATCCAGCACGGGCCAGTCTACCCCCGACTCATCCTCCTCGGACGAGTAGACCTCTGGCCTCGCACGTTTGATCTTCCTTGATTCTCTTCTTACCGTCAGGCCGGAGAACCGCATGCCCTCAACGGCCCTGGCAGCCTTTTGCCACTTCTCCAAGTGGCACTCTTCCCTTCCTACACTTCCTGGCGCATTAGATGCACCACAGGCCAGGTCGCTTATCTGCGGTGCCCCTTCCTGACGCATTATCCAGAGCTGGGGCCAGGTTGTCTACCCCAAGCTCCTGGCAGTCGTTGGTTGACGACAGCGGGTGGCCTGCCCTACCACCACCTGACACCGCCGTGGCACGGGTATCCCTCCCATGCTCGCTTATCCCACTGGTCGTACTATTCATAATTATATCATTATAAATGGGAGCCAGGGTCCTCAAAAGAAGGGAAAGGAACGGAAGGAAGCTAGAGAGAGAGAAAAAGAATAGAAAAAGATATGACAAAAGAACAAAGAAAGTAATAGCCGTACAAGAACATTCACACACCATTCACGCAGTCCCTTTTAGTCGCCTCTTACGACAAGCAGGGAGTACTGTGGAAGTATTCTACTACGTCCTACCCACAGGGGGACATACTCCAAGATGTAACGCAACTCCACAAGACTTGCACATTAAGTTTGTTATTCTTCTTTTTTGTTTTTGGAACATACGTGGCAGTTTCTTCGTTTTCGTTTATTCGTTTTGGAAATAAGTACTAATTGGTGTTGCTTTATGTGACCGGAAAGTCTGTCAACCGGATCATGATGAGACGTACGCGATGTAGTGACAACCTCCAAGTTTTGCTCAAAAGCAGGTACATGGTATTTTATCCACGAATCAGACATTTTCAATAAAAAGTCGTGAAAGCGGTGTCTCTTGTGTTCTGTATTGAAATATTGACATGTATGGAATGCATTAAATAATACGCAATTAAAGAGGTACATGCAAACCTTTTTTGACCATTTTATAGTTTTTCTGTATATAGGGTAATAACTCAAATATTGTTCTACCCGATCCATTCCTTTCATGTATTTGTTGTAGTCTAAAACACTTTCAGGTTTTTTTATTGTGTAATTGGTTTTTCTACATTTTATTTGAGTGTTAGTCAAAGTGGCATTATGTATTGTAGAGATCATTCGTATCGTTTTAGTTTTCGAAGCTCTCCATACCTGTGCGAGTACTTCACCTTTCCGTTGATGACAAGCTTCAAATACATTGACATTTGCGCGCTTTAATTTTTCCGAAAATCCTCTATTTTGTCGTATCGTTCCACAAACTCGAATTTTCTTTTCAAGTAAATTCCCTGCAAGTTCTACACTGTTGTAATAATTATCCATGTAGAGGTGATACCACTTTCCATAAGAAGATGCCAATAGTTCCATCACTGTTTTAGCTAAAGGCTGTCCAACGCCGGAGTATATCTTGAATGAGGAAATGTATCCCGTAATCGAATCACACAGCATCCGAATGAGTATGCCATATTTCGTAATTTTCGTAAACTTTAAAATTTAACCATCCACGCCACGGTATCATTCCTTCATCAGTTGAGATGTTTTGACTTAGGTTAAAATTTTCTTTAAACTTTTTGGAAAAATAATCAATTACGAATTGCACTTTGAAAGGCCGGTCGGCATTATTCGGTTTATTGTTGTCGGAAAAATGTAAAAATGATAATATTTGTCTGAATCGGTTACGGGACAACATTTTGCGAAATATCGGTGTGTCTATCAACGAATTCGTTGATCAATAATCATCGATCCTTGCTTTTTTTACAATACCCATAAGTATAGCAAGCCCAAACCATTTTCTAAGTTCGCATACCGTAATGTCCACAAATTTGGCATTTTTTTATCCAGTTTCCTTCTATTGCAATTTTAACTGTAGTACTTGTTGGTTTTATTGCTAATATATTCAAATAAATCGTTCCCAGTATATAATTCTACGATATCCTCGACGCTCTGTGTATCTTTGGGAAATATGTTTGAACCCGGAGATCCTTCAAATTTATTATTAGTCCTCGGTAAATCAAAGTCTGACCACTGTGCACTTTCTTCTTCATCTGATTCATCCGAATCAGTTGGCAACTGTAGCGTTCGCCGAATTCTTCTTATAGGTATTTCACTATCTTCCGACGATTCTGCTTCACTTTCATTTTTTTGATATCCATCATCTTCTTCCCAATCGGCCAAGTCATCCAGAACGTCAGACAAGACGTCCGCGCATTCATTGTAAATAATCGTATCGTCTCTTTCGTCTGCCATGATGAAAGGGCACAAGTATTTATAAAAACAAAAAACTCGTTGACGTATGTAACTTATTGTTATCTAAACAAAACACCAACAGAATGCAAAATTCGGCCGGTGTCGCCGGTTGTTGGCCGCTATTTCGCGCACGACACCACTGTGGTGTCGCCGGACAGCATAGTGTTAATAATGTGTCATGCCACTTTTATTTTTTATTGCCTCCATTAAACATTGCGGAATCGATTTATATAATTTGAAATTTGTTCTTAACTAAATTTGACACAATACTTTCTAATACAGTTTTTAGTTTCTCTACAATGAGGAACTGTTTTCCGTTTCCATATACAGCACGAACTAACAATCCCAAAAAGTTTTCTATTATATTAAGTCTTGTAAGCTATGGTAAAATTTGTATATTATGATTTTGGAAAGATCATTTTACGTGTTTTGCTGTATGTACAGTGGAATTGTTATATTGAAAAATATAATTTTTGCAACCAATGCTATTGGCATGTCGACTTAACTGCTTTTCTAATATGTCTATATATTTTGCAGCATTCATACTAATTGTAACAAATTTTATTTCGCTTTTTCCGTTGTAGTCTATTGCGAACAATACTATGATATTTCCGCTCATTTGCCTTCTTGATAAATGCAATTCTTCTTTGCGTAAATTATGAAAATAGTACGAAAGACCATCTGAACTATTCAAATTAACCTTATGGAAATAAGAACATATCAACAATTTTTTGTTCGTAGAAACTGTAGCTGAAGATTTACTGAAGATAAAGCATTATAGTTGGATATATTGCGTTGCTAGGTAGTTCTTATCGGTGGGAATTATTAAGGATGAATAATCGGAAAGATTGAAGGGATCGTAATGACTAAGTCGAATTTTTCTCCATTCAACATCAACAAAAGATTTTATTGAAATGTTTCTCTTTTTCACCGTCACACCAATTCTAGATCTGCAAATAAAATAAAACAAATATATATAATTTCTAGATTACTATTGCGGTGATTTTTCTTCGATAAATTCGTTTATTTTCTTCCTAATTGTAATTAACAAAATATTTGTTATAACTATGATTGGTAAATTACTACTTTGCTTCAATACAAACGCGCGCGCACAAAGAGCTTGTAAACATTTTAAGCCGATTTATACGAACTTCTCCACTCGATCTTTCATATTTGAGCAATGTAAAGAAAACCATCGCTCGTATAAAGGTTTGTATCGGTGCTTCTATTGGCTTGCCAATCTCGATCCAATTTCATTGACTTTTCATACTAATTCTCATGCAATTTGATGTATTCCAATAGGGTGTCTCCATCATCTAATGCTCCAGTGTTACCCTGATTGTTAATTGCCACCAGGGTTTCCCCAGGAGACATTTATCTTTCAGTCGACTGCAGAGCAAAAACGATTCTTTTCGCTTAAACGATGAATTCTGCGATCTATTTTCAGCATTGTTTTGCGTGGTTTACCATTTTTTGACCAATCAGAATATATGTCAGTCTTTAAAAATTTATATCAACTTTGTTCGCAAGCAGTTTCTGATCTATTAATAATAGAAGATATTTCAGCAAATGTTTTATTTTGCTTTCGTAGCATCATAATTTGTTCCTTTTCGAAATTTAGGAGCAAATTTTGAGATTTACTTATACTTTAATAAGCCGTAAATAAACTTAGAACAACAAAAAATGCACTATTGTCACTTATATTGACTGCCGCTTATTCGAGTACTTACGAAGTAAGTTAGAAGGTATTTAGAAAGATATTTCAGAGGATGTAATAAAACTATTAAATAAAACTATTGTTATAAAAGTAATATAGAAACATGGTTTATTAAAAAAATTATTTACAATGTAATGTTTTGAAACATTCTATACAAAATTGGAATTGGTTAGGTCAATCTGGACAAAACATTGTTACCTTTTTTACATTTTCTCATCCCTTTAATCGGTCCATATAAAGTCTTTTATTTGAGTAGCATAATTTACAAGCACGTCTTGTAAGTGCTTGTCGCTCCAGTTGCATTTTTCGAATAGCAATATATGGTTAGCCCTATTAATTTCATAGCTACTAATTCTCTAAATTTTCTGATATTCAGCATATTTATTTATTTCTAACGCCAGCAAGCATAATATAATTTCGTCATCAACCAATAAAGTAAGCATATCGTAGAGATTGATATTGCCAGGTAATTCCCTAATAAGGTCGACTGTGTCAGTGAAAGAAAATGATGATTGCCGACAACTAAATTCGTTCTATTCATTAAACTGGACTGTACTTTCTTCAGTATCAACTTTTCTTTCTTCCTGAACAACTAATTCTTGTAAAATATGATCAATAATGTCTATATCACATTCACTATCACTGCATTTATCAGTATCCGAATCAGAATCTGACGATGTAATTCTATTTATGTCTCTTTTTGAAAAATCTCATCGCTACTATTCGAATTTTTGTAAGCCTTGTAACAGGTTTTTTCTTCACTTTTATATGATTCATTAAGAAATAACTTCTCCATTTTTCTTTTTGACATTCCAAAAAATTAGGATAAAAATTTTAACAATTCGTCATTACAGAAAAAATATTTCAAAAAGAAAAAATAATTTTCGAATCTCACACGCTTTCTTAGATGTTTCGTTCTTGAGGAAAGATTTTCAATTGAATGCATATCCTGAAATGTTGTTTTAAACATGCTTATCTTCTGTTACGATAAAGAACAATAGGCTCAATACTATTCTCCAATATAAATTTTCAACTCAATGGAAATTCTTAGGCATTTTGTTCTTAGAAACAATAAACCTAATATGTTAACACATTCGCATCAATCTTAGAAGTCCATGGCTTGACGGAGATTTTCTTGTAAACTCGCGTGGCAATCAACGTGATATATTGATTTTAACACATTGCCGCAAATGACGGCTATAGCTGTCCGATTTTTAATAAAGCTGTCCGATCTTTGTTATACTGTTGAAAGATATGACTACAAATTACTTGTTCGATTGATCGTCTTAAACAAATGACCGCTCCTTTCAGGAGCTCGAAAGAAGTGAATATGGAAAAAGTCGTATTTTGTTTAGAATCGATATCCGAAAAATCAATATTAAAAAAGTCAAACATGTATCTCACTTATTACGAAATAACAAATTGAATAGAAAGATGTATATATATATATATATATATTGAATTTATCTACATTCTTTCTATATTATATATATATATATATATATATATATATATATATATATATATATATATATATATATATTATAATCGAAATATAAATTTGTTGTCTTAAATTTATGATCGTTCTTGTAGCTACTGTTTCCAGTTCAAGAATTGCGTCCAGAAGAAAATGAGGGGCTCGTCGAGAGTTTTCAATTTTTGGAAATTTTTCCTTGACGAGTAATTCTATGAAATATCTTTCGTTTAATTACTTTTACTCTCTCCAATGTTATATTTGTTATTGAAGATAATTTTTCATTATCCTCTAGTTATTTTGCACTTATGTCTATGGGTGTTCCAATTATTGTTAAAAAATACGCGCAGTGTACGTTATGCATGATTATATAGTCCCTAATTTCTAAAATTTGACTTTATATTAGCGTACAGTATTTCTTTGAGGTCTGTTTCGTCTTTGTCGTTTTCATTATCTCTATTATCTTTAGTTTTATTTGCATTCGCAATTGAAATTGGTATTCTCGGAATCGTTTCCGATTTTGTTTTCAGAATTATTTCCTACGTGTATGTTATTGCGTTTATTATTTGATTTATTAAATAGGTTTTTATTTTTAGCGTTTATTTAGGGGAGTAGAATTCATCAGTCATTCGTCATTCGTCATCGTCTATCAGAAGTATTTGTATACGCATATTTACGGGATTCCTCGAGTCCGTTTATGTTTCTCTTACTGACATTGTAAACAATCTTATATTCGTACTTGGCGATTTTAGACTTCAACGAATCAATCTAGAAGTTGAATCTTTTACTGAATTTAACCAGATTAACAGTTTGTGATCTGCTACTAAATTAAATTGATTTTCGTACAAGTATGGTGGAAAATAATTTATATTATAAATACCTAAAAATACCTAAAAATACCTAAAAATACCTAAAAATAATTTAAATTATGGTGAATAGTTCTTTTTCACTCGTTGAATACTTTGTTTTGCTTGGTTTTAGAGTCTTGAGGTATACGAGATATTTGCTGATTTCAACTTAGCTCAGAATTTCTTCTATTGCGTAGTTCAAAGCATTTGTAGTAACAATGAAGGGCTTAAAAAATCTGGTATTGTAAAAAAGGTTCTTGACATAAAAGTTTTCTTAAGGTAAGAATTTATAATGAAGGTTTCGTAAATGGATGTAGAGTATTAATTGATTGATTCAGATATATATTCAATAAGTCTCCGGTCTGACACATATATGACAACATTGCTGACAGATCCATATGATCCTTCAAACAATACATGTCAAAATTTCATGATATTCTGATAATTAGTTTATAGGTTACAGTGGTTTTAGTGATCCTAGTTTTGTAATTTTCAAAACACTGGATAAAAAAGAATTTCGTGTGTTGATTAAATATTGTTTTTTGATGGGGAAAAATACTGTTAAAGCCAAACAGTGGTTTGATAAGCATTACAGAGACTCTGCATCAGGGAAATCAACTATTATTGACTGGTATGCTGAATTTAAACGCGATCGTACAAACACCGATGATGCTGAATGCTCTGGTCGCCCAAAATCGGAAGTTGTTCCGGAAAACAAAAAAGTCCACAAAATAGTTTTGAAAGACTGTAAAGTGAAGTTACATGAGATAGTTGACACCTTAAAGATATCAGAAAGTAGTGCGTTTACAATTTTACACGAAAATTTGAGCATGCATAAGTTACTTTCGAAGTGGGTGCCGAGTTTGCTCACACCGGACCAAAAAAGACAACGTATCGACGATTCAGAGTGTTGTTTAGAGTTGTTCAAACGAGACAAAAAGAATTTCTTGGGTCGGTATGTGACAATGGATGAAACATGGATACTACTACACAACTATATCAAAAAGATTGCCAGCTGAGTCGACAGCAGCCGGTAAAAATTGTCCAAAGCGACCAAAAACTCAAAAGTCCGCTGGCAAGGTTATGGCATTCATATTTTGGGACGCGCATGGTACTTTGTTTATCGACTATCTTGAGAAAGATAAAACTATCAATAGCGAATATTACATGGCATTATCGGATCGATTGAGTGTAAAAATCAAGAAAAAACGGCCTCACATGCAAAATAAAAAAGTGCTATTTCACCAAGACAATGCCCCGTATTACAAGTCGATGAAAACGATGGTTAAATTGAATGATTTACGCTTCGAATTGCTTTTCCATCCACTGTACTCTCCAGATCTGGCCCCCAGCGATTACTGGCTTTTTGCAGACATCAAAAAGATGCTCCAGGGAAAGAAATTTTACTCAAACGAAGAAGTGATTGCCCAAATTGAGGCCTATTTTGAGGGCAAAGACAAATCGTTCTACAAAAAAAGCATCGAAAAGTTAGAGAAGCGTTGGAATGAATGTATCACTCTTGAAGAAGAGTATGTTGACGAATAAAGTCGAATTTCTAAAAAAAAATTTGTTCTTTCTAGCTAGACCGTAGACTTATTGAGTGATGTCAACATATATGGAGTTAGCTTGATTTTCCCTTATCTTCGTACGTTGTTGCCTTTTCTGATGTTGTTGTTGGCGTTCCTTAGTGTTTTGGTCCTTTTGCAAGATGAAGAAGAAGTTATGTAAGAGAACTCTATAGAGCTTTGATGATGTGTAGGCTGCATAGATACTATAGAGTGTGTAACCATGAATTAAAGTATCAACAATATATTTTATCAAGTGGAATATTATAAAAATTGCTACTGTCCAGCGCTCGCTGATCCGAACATTACGAGTGCTCTCCATAACCATTGTAAAGTTTTGGTTGCTATTTTTTCTAATGCATCCTCATTCATTAGATTGTACAACAATATTTTGCTTGGAGTAATTTGTTTCCCTTTGGCGAGAGTGTCAATAATGACTGGTTGGTTTTTTTATGGGCTCCATAATGTGAACGCAAAGTTTGTTTAGATCATCGCTTAAATAAATTCCATTGACCCCTAAATGTTCCGGGTCAATGTATTTCTAGGTACGTTTGGTTAATGGATGTATCGGTGGAGGTACTGAGTCTACTAGTCTAGGAATTATTCTATACCAGGTTCTATGAATATTGGGGAATATCTTATTGCAGTTTTCCGATGAGGCTTCCCTTAATATTATGCATGCTTTTGGTGCCAAAAAGAATGATTTATTGTGATACGTTACGGTGATAAGTCCTCATTCTTGTTATCTATACCATACTTTCAACAGTATAACGGGCATTCGTTGATTGATTTTATTTTCACTTCTACTGGTATGCATTTAAAAGGTTAATGATTTTTGCTGCGATTATAACCATGTATTTTAGTTGTTCCATTTTGACCTGTAAATCCATCTTGTTCCATGTTATGGTATCTAATAAAAGTGCATTTTTAATTCTTGTTTTTCAGGGCATATTTCTATTTTGTAATGTGGATGTATAAAGTTGTTAATTGAGTTTCGAATTGATTTTTGCACGTAGATGAATTTAGAATTTAATCTTCATCACGAAGAGTTGTGGATGTTCCGTCCGAATGAATCTGAAGAACAAACTCATTGATCTGTGTCAATGAAAATGTTACGTCTCTCGTTGTGGCCTTATAGAGAACGGGGCCTTGGTTCAGACGGTGTTAATTTTGTTCCGGGGCCCTGAATTCAGACAGGACTTTTTATTCAGTGGACAAATCATTCCTGTTTTGAGATGATCCTGATTGGTTTGTATTTTCGTAGGTGTATAATAGTTGCGCAAAGTGATTCTGATCGATGCGTGAACTACAACATCGGTCCATGTTCCAAAGAGATCACTATATTGCAATTCTTTGCATGTTCCATCGGTCGTAAAAGTGTCCCTAAGGATAAGATTTCTTGTTGTTGGGACCCCGTGGAGAAAGATCCCGTGGAGTATAATTGCTGGTACAACTGATGAATAAGTATATATCCTGCCTCCATTATGGATAAATGCGTGTAAATGCATGCAACAATGAAATATTTTTTTATCTATTTCAACACTACCATGTAATACCTTTATTGTTTGATACTCTGATGATTGTAACAATTGAACATATATGATATTGCTGGTAGATTGGAGATTCAGTATCTCGCAATAGGCTGTATCTAAGAGCGAGAATATAGATACATTGAACGAAATACCTGCATAGTCATATCCAATTAGTACAGTTGGCACTCTCACTAGTTTAATAATATTATAACATAATAAATGTTTGCATGAATAATTACAGAAAAAAATGTATATTGTGCATAATTAGTTTATTTTATAATAATAGGGAACAAAAAATTTGTAATATCTCAGGCCCCTTAAAAATTAAATCCGCCACTGATCATATTCGATCACATATATGTAAGATTTCGTACAGTAAAATATTTTAAGATCAATTAATTGCTTGACCTAGTCGTTGATACGGCATCAATCAAAACTTTCATTATCCTTATTTAAGACGATAGCTATGTCTTGTCATATTTTTCTGTGTCCTGTCTTTTTTTCGCTTTTTCTTTATATTTCGACTTTGTTTTTCGAAAAAGTTTTGATATGTTATTCTTTCTTTCTATTGTTTCTTAATTCTTATTAATTTTTCAGAAGATATGTTTTATAATTTAAGTGTTATGGTTTAACATCTTTATTATAGAATGCATTGAATCGATTTGACTTTATTTGTATTCGATAATACAGTGTTTTGTATTTCATATCTTTTGGAAATTTTAAATATTGTAAGTGATTACGCTTCATTATTTATTGTGTTAGTTAATGATAAAATAATGTACGAAAATTTATTTGCTACTTATTACCTATTATTAGAGATTCCCTTTCTCTTCAATTTCCATCCTCAACTCCTCGTCTATCACAACTAACAGGTCGTCTGCGTACGCGATCATATTGACTTCTGCAGAGTCCTCGAGTATCCTAAGAAGCTGGTCATAAGGTTTTAACAGGAAGGGCCAAGAACTGATATTCTTACGAGGCCTGCTTTGAAATATCATGTTCTTCCATAGTGATTTTGACCTTGTGATCGTCGAAGTACTGGTCATAACATCTGATACATTCCTCAGATAGTCTCGTTCCTTAACACTATTCCTATCAGGACCGGTCAAATGACCGTTTTTAAATTTTCAATTGGAATTTCCTACATTCAACGTAAGTGAATCGCCTTTAAACTTTACGACTTTTCCTCATATATATGTATGAAACATTTTTCAATATTCACTTATTTTTTTATTGTTTATTTTCTGAGAAAAATTTGTATTCTGTCTTACCTACCACGACCGGTTATTTGACCGGTAGTACGATTTATACATTTTTGTAATAGTTTCTCTCTAAGACTCAATTCCAAAACTATAATGTCGTTACAAACGAAAGTTAATGTAGTTGTGGCACGATTTTATCCGAGAAGTGCCTTCCAGAAAATGGTTTACAGCACTTCCAAGTGTTTACAGTTCTCGCTCGACTATCGGGTTAGCGGTGTTTATTTGCTTGATTGATATTCGATACGGTCCAGATCCTCAAATGTTCTTACGCCATCTTATCTACTATGACGTAAAATAAATAAACTTATAACTGAAGGAAATGTATAGACGTCTTCTCACGAATTCAAATCAGTATAGTCTTGCGACACGAACAGAGTGCATCGAAACGTAAAAGTCACAAAGAGCATACTTGGCAATCTTTTATTATTATTTTGTAATATTTTATATCGTATTACGTGTTATAAGTGCAATTTTAAAATAGTGAACAAGACTAACAATACGTCGCAGTAAGTTTCACATTTTATCTTTTATTCATTTTTTTATCTATTTTGATTACATTTTCATATTTTAGTTTTTATTTTCTCCGTTGAATATTTAGCCTAAAATGTCAAGACGTTTGAGGAGTGCGAATGTATTATTAGAGAGAATAAATGATATCGATGCAGAATGTTTTGAAGATGATCAGGAAATTCTGAATATGGAAAATAACAATACGGAAAATTATGATCCACTTGAAAGCGACTCGAACACCGATGAGAACGAAGAGAATATTTCGAACGTACGTAGACGACGAAAGAGAAGAAGATTTTTAGTTACTTCCGATAGTGAGAATGAGGAAGAAGCAAGCGAAATTGCGATGGACGGAACTGTTTGGGAGGAAGTAAAAATAGGGTCTAATCCTGGAAGAGCACCTGGTCATAATATTTTTAGGTAAACATCAGGCCCGACTGGGTACAGTATACGTAATATTATGAAAGGCAAAGTTAGGACGGCATTTTCTGTGATAATTGATAAGAATATAATTGAACTTATAAGAAAGTGCACAGAGACAGAGGGATTTAGAGTATTGGGATATAAATGGGAACTGTCTACTGCAAAGTTATATGCATTTTTTGCAATTCTGTATGCACGCGGTGCATATGAGGTTAAGAATATAGATATAGCACTTCTATGGAATAAAAAATGGGGCCCGCCTTTTTTCTCAAATACTATGAGTAGACATGACTTTACGGAGATTATGAGATTTATTCGATTTGACGACAGAAATCAACGAAGCCAACGGTTACAAACCGATAAATTCGCTATGATTTCTGAAGTTTGGTACAAGTTTATTGACAACAGTCAAAATTGTTATAAACCAGGACCATATATTACTATTGACGAACAATTGTTTCCAACGAAAGCAAGGTGTAGATTCACTCAATACATGCCCAATAAACTGGACAAATTTGGTATAAAATTTTGGTTAGCATCCGATGTACGTAGCAAATATATAATAAACGGCTTTCCATATTTGGGAAAAGATGAACGTAGAGAACCCTCAGTTCCTCTTGGAGAGTTTATCACTATGAAATTAGCAGAACCGAATGTAGGATGTGGAAGAAATATAACGGACAACTTTTTTACAAGCCTACCTTTAGCAACAAAACTTTTAGCAAAAAAAACTACGATTGTTGGGACAATTAGAGCAAATAGAAAAGAGCTACCAAGACTGGCAAAACTGAAAAACGACGACATGGCACTTTTCTCAACCAAACTCTATCGCTCAAATAATTGTATGTTGACAATTTACAAAGCCAAACCAAGAAAGAAAGTTCTAATTCTCAGTTCAATGCACAACCCCGTACAAGTTGAAGAAAATGACACCCGAACACCGGAGACCATTCAATTGTATAATAGCACCAAATTTGGCGTAGGTGTGACCGACCAAATGGCCAGAAATTATTCGGTAAAATCTAAATCTTGGGGATGGCCTTTGCAAGTATTTTTTAATATCTTGGATTTAGTCGGGATAAATGCATGGGTGTTATATAAAGAAACTACGGGAGGAGAAATTACAAGACAGGAATTTCTATTCCAATTGGCAGAAGAACTTGCCATCGAATACCAATAAGTGCTCGGCAAAGAAAATCAATCAATACCCATCGCAAGTACAAGTACAGGTTCCCGTGAACGGAAAACATGTCAGATAAGGTATTGTAAAGATAATAAGACGAACAAAATCTGTCTAAAATGTAAAAAGTACGTATGCGGAAAATGTACAGTTGAGAAGCCCATTTGTAAAAAATGTGACGAAAAAGAATAAAATGTAGATTATGTACTCTTGAATAAAAGAAAATATATTTTTATACTGGTAAGCTGGCTATTGGTTTGCATTCAATATTGAAAAATATAAGTTGTGAAAGACCGGTCATTTGACCGGCAGCGGTAGGTATAGGTATACGTGAAGTGTTGGTAAGAATAGTGTTAATACATTCAGGCGTCTTTTTTTGCGAGGAACTATTTGTGATTCGCTTTTATTGCTGCTATCCGAATCAATTTTTAATCTATCCAAGATGAACATCAGTTGCAATTCTCTTTTTGATGCTATTTTGTAAAGCTAAAACCTAAGCACTTTATTGAAATGAAAAGTAACTTATAATACTTGTAAGAAGTGAGGATATTTTTAGACCGCAGGCGGACGTACCAATACAAAACTTCGCTGAAATTCTTTATCCTAAAGTTTGTAGTATTTTCGATTTTCTATTTCTTTATGACACGTAACACAATAGTAATGAAAAAACGCAGGTAGAACAAATATAATTTGAATGGTGTGTCGTTTATTCGTTTTGTCAAAAGATTTACGCATCAATTACAAGGGGCGCTGCTATCCAAAAACTAGATCGCGGTTTTACCAGCATGTTGGATATATCCGGCGTTCGTCTCCAGAGGGCGATCATGTGAATGTCGGATATATCCGGCGTTCGGCTCCGTGGGTTTTCATGTGGATAACGGATATATTCGTCGTTCGGAGCGAAAGGGTTAAAAACCACCGGGGTAAAGCTTATTGTAGAGTGATAAACACCACTGAAAAGGACTACGCCAGAGTTACAAGCGTTTGAAACGCACCAGGAAATAATACTACAGGCGCCGGGAACTTCAAAAGAAAGTACAATAGCCTACGTCGGAACCGTGAAAGAATGTCAAGGTAACAAAATGAAGAAAAACAATAGCGACAGAGCAAAAGAAATAGAAGCATTGCTGCGGCTGCATCATCTGAACGACAAGGAAAAAAAGACCGTCGTTGAGCTCGAGGAAAGAAAGTCGTTGACCTCTTATCCACTAGTGCAGACCTGCTTATCCACTAGCAGGAGAACAGCTGGAGAGCACACATGTGCTGACTCACAGGATTATCACTACCGACGAGATGCCAATACACATGAAGCAATATAGGTTTCCACCTATGCACAAAGAGGAGATCAATAAACAGACGCAGGAAGCGATATAATACGACCATCTCTCTCTCCTTACAACTCTCTTATATGGATGGTGCCTAAGAAAGCTGATTCAAAAGGGAATCCGAAATGGAGGATGGTAATCGACTACCGCGAACTTAATGAGAAGACTGTCGGGGACGCGTATCCCCTTCCCAAAATCAATGAAATTTTTGATCAGCTGGGCTCTGCAAAATACTTTTCGACATTCGATTTAAAGTCAGGATTTCATCAAATCGAGATGCATCCGGATAATACTCATAAGACTGCATTCTCGACACCTCATGGGTATTTCGAATTCGCGAGAATGCCGTTCGGGTTAAAAAACGCACCAGCCACGTTCCAATTGCTCATGGATCTTGTTTTAACTGGACTACAAGGCGAGGAGATATTCGTATACCTGGACGACATCGTCCTCTACGCAAGGTCACTCCATGAGCATGAGCATGATGTCAAGTTCAATAAGCTGATAGGAAGGCTAAGGAAGGCGAATCTGAAACTAGAGCCTGACAAGTGCGAATTTCTGAAGAAAGAGGTCATTTATTTGGGTCACATAATTGGCAAGGATGGAGTGAAACCCGATTCAAAGAAGCTACTGGCTGTAAAGGAGTCCCCGCGACCGAAGAAGGCAAAGAACGTTAGGCAGTTTTTAGGACTCACAGGATATCATAGAAGGTTCATTCCGGGGTTCTCAAAACTGGCGAAGCGCCTTACGGAGTTATTAAAGAAGGAAGTGCCCTTTAAATGGGACAAGCCACAGGAAGAAGCATTTGTGGTACTGAGAGACACATTGTGTGAGGAACCAGTGCTTCAATATCCAGACTTTAACCGCGAGTTCAACGTGACGACGGGTGCATCAGGTTACGCGATAGGTAGGGTGCTCAGCCAAGGACAAGTAGAGAAAGACTTATCTATATCATATTGTTCAAGACTATTGAATACGGCTGAGAGGAATTACTCTACCATCGAACGCGAAGTTTTAGCCATAGTCTACGCAGTGCATTACTTTAGGCCGTATTTGTACGGAAGAGAGTTCACACTGGTGACGAATCATCGCCCAATGTGGCTCAAATCATATAAGGATCCGACTTCGCGTCTGACCAAATGGGGTTTAAAACTTGCGGAGTATAATTTTAAAATAATTTACAAGGCAGACACGGCTAATGCGAACGCCGATGCCCTTTCACGGAATCCGCCAGAAAAGGCACAGGTTTTGCCATTACATCTAGATGACAGCTCTTCGAACGATTCATACTTCCACAGGTCAGACTCGAACGGATCCGACGCGATAGATTTAAGTAGGGTGTCTCGTGAGATGGAGGAAAGTAATACGAATATCTCTCCTAATCTTGACGAGAGCGATTTGTATTCTACCACGAAAATTTTATTTGAATTGGCTTCTCCACCATATAGGTGCCAAATCAGGTGGAGCATACGTACAGAATTTCACAGAACCTTTTCACAGAACAATGCGGAAAGACAATCTGGTCATATTTATTACACAAAAGGGAGATCCGTGTGATGATGGAGCAAAACAATTACGGGAAATGAATAAGCTTCCGAAATACAAAGACCTGACATTAAGACGGGCAAGGGTAACAAAATATGGGTCGAAAAATTTAATTTCATTGGTTATTAAAGAGAACATAAATATTGTAACGGACATAGAAATTTTGAATGATGCTCTGGAATCACTCTTGTCGGTAACAAGGAAACTGGATTTGCGTACAGCAAGCATCTCCAGGACGGACAAACTGGACGACATACCTTGGGGACATATTGAGCAAAGGCTAAGAGATTTATTCGATACAGAGAAATGCACAATTTGCTTTTGCAAAAATTTAATTAGAATACCCAGGGAGGACGAGCGTGAGGACTTAATACGTGAGAATCACTCATCGGCTTTAGGGGGTCACAAAGGAGTGACCAAAACATACAACTGAATTAGGGAAAGATATTTTTGGGAAAACATGAAGGGGCAAATACAAGCCTTCATACAAAATTGTCTAGATTGTCAATTAAAAAAATTAGTCCGGGTAAAGCATAAACAACCTATGGTGTTGACGGATACACCGGGATCGGCTTTCGATAAAGTGGCGGTCGATGTAATGGGTCCTCTAGCTCTGACATTATTTGTCGTGATAAGGAAAATAAATATATCTTAACAATCCAGGATCAACTTACGAAATTTTCATTGGCCATCGCTCTCGCGAACACCACATCAATATATGTAGCAAACGCGTTAGTGGTAAATTTAATATGTAAGTTCGGAGCACCTAAGGCCATTCTTACGGGTCAAGGAACAAATTTTCTAAGTACTTTAATAAAGGCTATAGCGCGCAAATTTAAAATTAGGCAGTATAAAACAACAGCCTTCTACCTACAATTTATCGGATCGCAGGAAAGATCCCATCATGTGCTCATCGAGTATTTAAAACAATTCATTGACAAAGAGAAGAACTGGGGTGAATGGGTAGAAATGGCTATGTTTTCGTACAATACGAGCGTTCACGAGATAACTCGTTACACATCGTACGAACTTGTCTATGGTAAATTGGTGAGGGTACCAGCATCAGATCCACCACGGTGGACGATGAAATGAATCGGACGTACTTCGAATATTATATCTCACTAGTGAATAAGATAAATAGGATACAGCAGGTAGTACGACAAAACCTGATGAGATCCAAGGAAGTTTCCAAAAGATATTATGACAAAAGGCACACCCTTTAACGTTAAAGGAAGGAGACAAAGTATTTTTACTCAAGGAACCGACAAATAAATTTGGCGACTAATATACTGGATCTCATCAGATTTTAGAAATGCTACCCCACAATAATGTTAAATTACAAATAGGAAATCGTACTAAGATAGTTAATATAAATAAATTAAGGCGAAGATAAAATAAGCTAAAATAAGTGTATTGCAGAGACTATGGGGCTTCCGGTTGTATTAATCGTACTGTTAGGAACCATTAGTGGGGGCGTCTGCTTACTAGGATACGACTGTGGTGGAGCCTCCATGAATATCACCACGATGTCATTACTGGACACGGGAGAATGCACCACTCAGTCGCACGCACCAAACGCCACGGAGGTTTACATCCAGCTCTTACAATTAATGGAATATGACAGGACGCACGTGTACCAGTGCCATGTGGACAGACCAGGGAGTGATATGATCCCAATCTCCGCCGCCAGGGAGAACGCGAGATCACCCATTCTGGAGAGAATTTTGGCAGCTCGCAGAGACAAGTCGTCAGATTGCGAGGATCAAGAACGACTTAATTAAGGAAGGAGGTGTCACGTAGGCGCCTAACGACGTGGATGAACTTATATCCAGAGTAAAGATTATTTAAATCAGGAATAAAATGTCGATAACTTCACATATTTTCAATACTACTTAGTCGAATTTCAGCGAGCGTTCGAAACAAGTCGTTTTCAGAAAGCATACGGAATAAGTTCTTACTGTGAATATTGGAAATTAAGGCTTCTGGTCTAAATGTAAAGTATTAGGGAAAAGTCTCAGATAGTTTCTAATAAAAATAATAATTTTAAAAACACAAGTCTTAAGGAAAAGATTTAAGAAGTTTTTGGTTAATTTTTACGTAAAGTTCTTACAAGTTTACAACGATCTTAAGGAAGATCAGAGTGTTGTTAACA